TCTTCCTCAGCAAAAAGAGGAGGATTAGCATGGATGTTAGCTCAGGGCTGATCTTCCTCACAAAAAAAAATAATAATAATAAAAGAATCAACAATGGAAACAAAGGAAAATCCACACAGAGATGGCCTCACTGGTAAATTACACCAAAATTTAGAGAAGAAAAAATACCCAATTTAATACAGACTTTTCCATAAAACAGAATAGATGAGAATACTTCTCAACTCATTTCATGAGGCCAGCACTATCTTGGTACCAAAACCAAACAAATATGTTGCAAGAAACAGAAACTATGGCCCAATACCCCTCATAAATAGAGACACAAAATTCTCTAACAAAATACTAGCAATCAAATCCAGCAATATAGAAAAAAGATAATACGAGTGAGCTTTATTCCAGAAATTCAAGGTTGGCTCAACAACCAAAATTCAATCAATCTAATTCACCACATCAACAGACTAAAGAAGAAAAGCCAGGTGATTATCTCAAGAGATGTTGAGAAAGGATTTTGTAAGGTTCAACATTGATTCTTGACAAAAACTCTCAGCAAACTAAGACGAGAAGTGAACTTCTTACCTTATAAAAGGCATCTGAAAAATAACTCTGGCTAATATCACATTTAATGGTGAGAGCCTAATGCTTCCTCCACAAGATCAGAAACAAGTGAAGGTTACACACACTCTCATCACTTCCATTCAACGTTGGACTAAAGATGCTCCGGGGAGGAGGATGACAAAGAACTGGGCAGGCCTTCTCATGGAAAGAACTAGGACTCCTTGCTGTGGAGGTGAGGCACCTGCATGCAGGTATCCATCATTAAATTTTTTTTAAGTGTATATAGCTACTATTATGTGCTAGATACAGGGCAAATTTAAAGGAGAAAATTATATAATCCAATAGTCATTATTTTATTAATTTTCCTTGAAACACTTTCTCCACTACAAATCATAGGTGAACGCACCTAAAATAACTTAAATGTTACCTAACTCCAAAAAGAAATAAAATCCTCAGATTTACACAAACCAGTGACAGGCCTCCACTGGCCCAGGACAGTGGAAGGCAAGCCCTGCCAAGCCTAGAATCGCTACACAGTGACCTTGGAGACAGGTCGTAAGGAGGGACCTGTGCTTACCAATCCAGCATTCTAAGCGTGCACAGGGGGTGGTCTTCACCACATCTGGAGGGTCCACACCGACATTCAGGCACAAAACTAAGGCAACACTGACGGTCTTCATCTGGAAACACAACAGAAAAAACAAATATTTCAATATGAAACTCACTGATGCAGTTGTTTCTAAAATGTTTCTGGAACATACCAATGCCTCTCCAGCCATTCTTTCACTCACCTACTACCTGTGCCGCCCAGTGTTATTTCATGAGTCACTTCCTTCCTGGAAGACAGGGTTTCAGAGTAAAGTGGGCAGATGGGGAGGGGTACATGGCAGCAGAGGCTTTTCTCAGGCTTCCTTATGATACATTTCCAGAGGCAAAATTATTTGATCAAAAGACATAAACATTTTAAGGCACTTGATACATTCTGCCAAATTCCTTTACAAAAACTTTGCACAAATTTACTCTCTGACTAGCTTATCACTATTCTCATTACTTAAAATCATTAATTATTTGATGAGAGAAAAATTGTCATATGGATTTAGTTTGCATTCTTCAGTATTAGTAAGGCTGAATATTTTTTTCAAATATGTATTCACTATTTGTATCTTTTATCATTTGTGGATTTCCTACTCACGTTTATACTGCCGTTCATTTACTGGCATTAGTGATTTTTTCTGATTAATTTTCATGTACTCTTTACATATTAAAGATTGTGTCCACATTATTTGTTGCAAATATTGCCTTAGTCTGGAGTTTGCCACTGGATTCATTCCATACCAAAGCCTTGGGTCCATCATTGGATACACCTTCCTGCATACCTGCTCCTTCTCCAGTGTCCCAGCCTCAGGAAATGTCCGCCCCACCTACCCAGCTGCTCAAGCCAGAAATCTAGAACTCATCCTTCATTCATTCACTTCTCAACAAACACTTACCAAGCACTACTAGGTACCAATCACTGTTTTTAGGTGCTGAGGATACATCAGTAAATCAAAGAAATAAAAATCCTTGCAGGGAGAGGAAAGATACCATTTCAGATAGGGCAGAGAGAAGCAAAGAGGCGCGAGGGCTATCTGAGCCAAGAGTTACTAGCCTTGACTCCTCCTTCACCCTATTCCTGAGCACTAGCGCCCACCTTTGACTCAGCACTCCATCTTTTTCATCCTAAAAGCCTCCTGACTAGTCCACTTCACTATCCCCCTACTCCAAACCACCATCAAGTGTGACCTGTGCTACAATTCGCTTTCCGGGGACGCCGTCTGCCTTCCCTTCTCCAGGCTCCATGCTGCAGCAGAACCATGCTTTTAAACACATCAGCTCACTGCCTGGTTTTCAATCAGTCCTCAAACCTTCAAGATTTACGTTGGTACTTCTCAACATGCTAGTATAGCCTTGTAAGATCCAATTCCTGCCAGGTGCTCCACTTTGCGGCTCCCCACTCTGGTCACTTCTTCGGTCCACTCGGCATGACCACTGGGCCTTCAAACACACAGTTCCCAACAACTGGAAGGCTCCCTCCTCCAGCTTCACCAACTCGGACTCTCTCCCCAGGTCTCAGTTCAGATATCCATTTCTCAGGGAGGCCTTCCCTGAATCCCAGTCAGGGCAGCGCCCTCTGTCAAAGCTACCACGCCATCTGTGCTTTCCTCCTGGCAGAGCTGCGGCCTGTCCGCACTCCTCCGGGGACCTACGGCTCCTCCAAGCTTAGGGCTGCCTCGTGGGAGCAAACAGCTGGCACAGACTGGGGCTCAGTACCTATCCACTCAGTGAGTGAATACGTGGATTTCTCCTAGAGTTCTAATTTGGTTTACATTTCACCCTTTAATCCATCGAGATGTTTTGGTACATGATACAAGATGAAGATCAATTTTTCTCAAAAAACTATCCAACTATGCCAATTCCCCCTGTTAAATAATGTCCCCCAAACTCACAAGTTTGCAATGACTCCTTTAGCATATATTAATTCCCATAGACACAAAATTCTATTTCTGGATAATCAAATTTATCCCATTAGCCTATCAACCAATACTTCTACTGGTACCACATTGATTTAAATACTTTATCTTTACAACATTTCACAATACTTGGAAGGGCCGGCTTTTCTTCCTCACAATTTTTTTTTTAACTTTTACTTAGTTATATTTATATTCATCTAATTTTTCCCAAATTAATCAGTTACTCAAGCTTTTAAATCCCATAGAGATTTTGATTCAAGTTGCATTAAACTGCATATGATAAGACTGAGAATTTCAAATCGTCTTCTTTGATCTAATAATTCCACATATGAGACTCTGTCATAGAAAATACAAAAAATAATAATAATAAGGGGGAAACATCAATGCGTAAAGATTTCCTTCACAGCATTTCTCACCAGGGAAAACAAGTGGAAACAACCTAAATTTTGAGCAAATAAGGGAATGTTTAAGCATAGCATTACATATACTCTTAATGGAATGATGCTTAGATTAAATTCTTATAATGTTAAATGAATAAAAATAAATTCAAAATACAAAAAAATTGCATTAAACATAAATTAAGTTTGGGAAGAAGTGACAACCTGATAATATTCTATTTTTCTGTACAGCAACATAGTATGAACCTCTGTTTTAATTTTTCTCAGCAATTAAAGTTTAAAGTTTTCTTCACCAACAAGTCTTGTATGTTTCTCTTAAGATTATTCCTAGATACTTCATGAATATTTGGGGGAAATATGGTTCTATACACGTATTTTCCCCATAAAAGTTTCTTGTTGATAATTGCTGATATCTTCATTTAGTCACTTCACTAAATTCTTAATTAAATGTAATTGCTTTTTGGTGATTCTCTCCAGGTTTTATAAGTATAAAAATATAGGGCCGGCCCTGTGGCTTGGTGGTTAAGTGCGCGCGCTGCAATGCTGGTGGCCCGGGTTCGGATCCCGGGTGCGCATCGAGGCACCACTTCTCCGTCCATCCTGAGGCCGAGTCCCACATACAGCAACTAGAA